TTCATAATCCCGTACAGCCCCTAATTCAACTAGTTACAAGAAGCTCATGAGTTGACTATTGCATCCGTGCTGCCTGAAATTGCTTCCCATCACTGCACGACTCGGACTATCAGCTGCTCGAATTTTTCGTCAGATGGGCTCTATTGTGAATGATGCAGTCTCTGCTAGGTCTTTAGAACATGGCCACTTCTGAAGGTGCCTCTCATCTGGGCAATTTTTAGATATTCGACCGTTTTTCTAAGCCATTTTCAGATACGGCAGCTCTCCACGTGCCATCTTTAGAAAGGGAATCTGTTTCTATGTTGGATTGCGCTTTTGAGTTATCTGCAAAAACTTAGCTTTTCAGTGTCTTTGTAAGTGTAAAGCATTATGCTATTACTACGTGGAGAAAGATGCAGCTGACAATGATATCAGTCAGTTATCTGCTGGCACACGATTAGGGCCTCTTTTGAATGTTCTTGACATCACGACGTTACCACACGATCGCTGTGATGTTTCCAATAACGATCTTGCAAATCACAGCGCTCCAGTTTTGCCCCGAAACTAAAATTATCGAAGTGAAAAGAACTCTGAAATGAACAGGCCTTTAATAGCAGCCGCCACTTTGATATGCTCGCATTCCGTTCGACATCACCGGAAGACGTTGGAAAATCTAATGGAAAACACAAACACAATAGGGAAGCGCTCTTTTCGAGTGCTACCTTAGCCTTGGACTCTACTATCTTGTGCATCTTTTATCGAATATCTTCGTGCAGCCTGGAATCCATTACTACAAAATTACTTGTCTTACCGTCTGAACAAGATTCGGATCTATACTTCACTTCTCTTTATCGATGAGCAAGTGTACCACAGTTGTCGGGCCATGCACTTTTGACTTGGTTGGAAAATCGCCTAGACTTGAATGTCTTATACAAAAACGAGCTCTACACCGCTGATGTGGCAAGCCGCGAGATTTCCTGACAAGGAGAGGCGAAGAGGTGAATGCTTACCTTTCAGCAGCCGTACCTTTAGTACTGAAGGTATATGTTCCCTGTTCAGAAACACGTGGAATACCTTGCCCCGGAAAACTTTGCAGATATCTCATCACAGAATAGCGCGCCCAGCTTAATATGCAGATATCTCATCACAGAATAGCGCGCCCAGCTTAATATCTACTTCTTATTCAGATACTGTATGTTCTGGCCTTTGCATGCACGCCTTTGCCTTGTAGGGTAGAGTGGGAAAGATTTTTTGGAATCTTCCGTAAGGAGAGTAAAACATTCCAGGTGTTGAAAACATTTCCAAACTGTTCGGAAGAAATCCTAGAAAGAAATTCATCCTAGGCAGCTTAGAAAAGCTCATACAAGTAATGGCAGTTACAAAGAGCTTCTCAGAAGTTTTGGTATGGGTATAAAAGTCAAGTTTTTAGAAATAGGGATAGATAGATAAAATGTGCGCTTCGTTCGTGGAAATATAAAATGCGTTTCAGAGTGACTTTCGGAAGTGATGATAAAACTGAAAAAAAGTAGAGGCATCTGAAAGTGATGGGAGAACTAGAAGCCAATCTTTCTCCCTTGGTTAACAATTATCTCTGCCCTACTCTGCTTTGTGCTATGTGATATACTTCGAAATTCCGAACCCTGCTCGGCTAGAAGAGGCACGCCAATGGCTCCAGTTGAAATGACAATTGAAGTTGAGGTTGAGGAGAATTGGTCGAATTTCATATTTCAGTCTCCTGTCTTGATGTGAACATTATGTAAGTTTTGCGTATATACCGGGTATGCGCCGATCAGAAAAACTACTTCTGGAATGATCTTTCGCGATAATGAACGATCAAAAAAAGTAAAAGTTAAAATTGGATCAGTCACGAAAGTTCATGAAATTTCACCATCAAAAAAGTACGGGACTGCTTCACTCAATAACGTAGCATAGCAATATGAGGTACAAAGTATCGTTCTAAATGTTGCTGGCAAAACATACTCGATCCATTCCGCAGCATATAGGAGAAGACATTTCGGCTTATCTCTCTTTGTCCTCATGCTAGAATGGAGAAGATGATTAAAAGTGCAACAATGTCGCTCAAGTATTTTCAGTTTTGATTCCGCTACTTAACAGACGTTATTCCAACTGTTTAAATGTATCGACCATCGCCTATTCCCCTGTATCGTTCGAAGAGCAGCAGTTCGACGACTTCTTCCCTAGAGCCAGTCACTTCACCTTTGTACTTCCAAAAGATCGGTTGTGACGAAAACTGTAATCTGATAAGGAGTGATAGCTACTGAATTTGTTCCGTGATTTTCGAACATTCAGGGTAGCACATTGTGAAGGACGAAGTGATTTAAGTTACAAGACTCAGGTTAGGAAGCGTAAACATTATATAAAGGCCGTTAGACAAGAATAGCTTCCCTAGGAAAGAGCTAGAGATAAAGGAGAGAAGAAGCGCTTCACTGGTGTGGGTATTATGCCACTTTGAGCACAGCCAACACTATCTGTTTTGAAATTCAGTTGCCAAAACCAGGATCACCTCCCTCTCTCGATTTTTGTTGATGTAACAGTTACGAAGCCTACACGAATAATTCGAAAATTATCCTTTACTTACGCACTTTTAAATGACAGTGTAAGGACGAGGTGGATGCTGAGCTGATATGAAGCAGTCACTACATATAGAGCGATAGTCGATGCACTTTCAGCTCAACTATTACGCGATGTTTCCTCTTCATAAACCTGAACCTCACTGATGTACAATGCATCTTCCCTTCTTCGCAAGGTCTCAGAACAGCGTACATCTTGCAAATTCGAATCATGGCCAACACTTTGAGCTCGTTATGTTATTAATACCAAAAAGGGGGTTTATTGCGGCATAGACAGCATCGCGATCATCTCCAATCTCCAATTCTTCTGCGATTCAGCTCACTTTGCTGAGAATCGGACCACCGCACTGCCACCGATGATGTTTTTTGTATTTAGTTGTACTGCCCTACTGCTTCTTATGGAAATTGCACTGATACCGTACTTGCGTTAGTCTGTCAGCTGAGGTGCTCATTAGCGGATTCCCAGTAGAGTTGATGCTGACGCGAATTCAGAAACGTTGAGAACATGATGTAGTGTTGCCTTGGTGACTTCTAAAATATCCCAAGGGGCGAGGGCAGCTCAATTCATTTTGTGAATCTTATGTCATTTCATTTATGTGATTCTGTGACAATGCCATGAATGAACAGAACAGTCACGCCCATCCCTACGCTTGTAAAATAATGACTTCGAACTGTAATGAATTCAGACGATGGAAAACTTGAGATGGAAGTGTCGCGCTCGAGTTAGTAGCAAGCGGTACTTATGTGGTTATAAATTATGATCACAAGTATTCAATTTTTTTCATCACGATTTTCCTGGACGAAGCAAAATCACAAAGACAAACTTACTCACTGGTTATAGCGCATCCAATAGTACCAATAATACCAGTTTTTGTTCTTTGAACATTTTTACACTGTGAACCACTTCCAGAAGAGTTGTGCTTTTAATCTTGCTGCAACCGATCCAACGAGGCGGTCCTAAATATACTCATTGTGCGCTCAAGTTCTAGTTGGATTTATTGCAAGAGTCTTACTGAAAGAAACGAACCTGAAGAACGTGATGCACGGTTATGAGTTAATTGAGCTACGATAGATGTGTCATTTCAGGATTCCGTTATGATTGCTTCACGATTTATTTCTGTAGTGGACCTGCGTTCTTGAGTTGCGTAGTGGTAGAACCGTATTGACACTTTCTTTTAAACAAATTCGTTAGAATTTGGTCAAAATTTAGGTTATCCTAATGTTCTAGCAGAAGAGGTCCGCTATTTCTCCTCACAGGGAATGTTTTGGCAGAGACAAATTAGCTTTAGTGCATCGCTGCATATGCTCTATCAAACATGCACGCCGTTCTACCTGGAATAATTTAATCAAAGCAGACATGCTCTCCTCTTTGCGATGTCGCGCTCACCCGGAAACAATGTTTGTAAACGAACCAGGGCACTGTCTGAGGTGGAATGTGGCAGATGAAGGAAAGAACAGATAGTAAGTCTTTACTCCTCTCTACACCAATAGAAGATGCAGAGTTTGTAAAAAAAAGGAAGTTGAGGAAATATGAAAAGTTGGTCTAGTCGAATCGCCAAAGCCACAATAATTCTGTGTTTTGAGTAGCTTCTCCGAACACTTGATGAAAAAGGCTTTCTCTCTATCCAGCTCGAGAGGATGATTTGAGGCAAAGGCTACATATAACTAGTAGATCTTAATCCGCAACGCTCGAATCTTCAGTAGATCTTCAATAGCAAGAAAGCATATTCATTCTTTGACAAAATCCCTTTTTTACGATGAACAGGGATCCAGTAACTTCGAGTGATTTGATCATTTGCTTGCCCTGACAAAAAAACGTTGAATAAATTATTCTCAAAGTAATTTGCTCTATGCAGTGCTTTCAGGAACTTTTCCAACATCTGTTCCTCTATCGTATATGAAGCATACACAAAGCAGAATCGTACCATGTGTTAGAGGGTTCACCCAGTATGGTTCATTGGAAGTAACATTTCAAGTAATTCTGGAATGGCTTCAGCTTCACCGTTAGTCTCAAAGGCTTCTTTGTACTACGCATCTAAATGTATCTCCGCATAAAACAGTTTCTTTTCCTACTGAGCCTCTTTTCATATTGCAGGTACAGCGACTGAGGTTAGAGAGACCGAAAAGTCCGAACCAGTAATAAAAATTCATAGTCTGAAAATTTTTTGCGAACATTGACTTAAGCGAATACTGCAGCTTCGAAAAGCTTCGATCCTGTCGTTGAATGGAATTTATTGGTTATATCGGATACACTTTCAGCGTATTGTCCTCTAGAAGCTCTCTATTCAAAACATAAGGTGGGAATACGATATAACACAGACAAATAGCGGTCGAATCAAGTCCTTGAAGATGGATTGTTGGCTCCTCCTCTATATCGTCTCCACCAATCACGGACACGGCGCTCAGTCAAGCCGCGCCCATTTCATTTAAATGCACTCTTCTGTCACTAATATACAACCGCATACATACACAAGTACTGCTCATATGGACAATCTCACTGGCTTACCGCGAACGCCCAGTGAGTTGTGTATTTCACTCATTTGTTTTGATTATTAAGCAATTTAATAATGAGCACAATAAATACATAATCGGATTTCGATGTCATATAACAAGGAAAAATTGTTCCACGAAGTTCTAACTGTTGACTAATCGGTGTGCGACCAGCCACAAGGTTCTGTCTATCAATTTGGTTATACTAATTTTATAACTACATAACCGTATTTGGAGAGATTAGCATCTGAACAGAGGGCGCGCTCCCAGTTGTTACACGCTTTTCCGACTGCATGCACGCTTTCTCTGTCGGGTATTCGGTAGTTCTTCCCTTCATTTTAAGGACCACAACTGATTCTTAGAGTTACAGTCAGGTCCATGTCAAGCTGGGATGTGCCAGTCATAATACACCAAATTGGCAGCAAAAGCCGCAGCCCTTTAAATAGCTTAATCTGTGAAATATTAGGATTTTCACTTGTCATTTCGTATCAGAATTAAAATTATCTTACAGTGATCTCACCGTATGACCATCCGCTCGACATCAAGCAAGACCCGGTAGAGAAACGCCATGAAAAGGTATGTTGTGCTTGTTCTATCGAATACAGTAGGATTCTGTAAGGAAGGTTTCCACACTTCTTAATCAGAAACTACAGCGCTACTTCTCTGGTACCCTGATCATAAGAATTGAACTGAAAGCGCTAAATGCCAATCGCCAAAATTTTCTAGAGCCCTTCTCAAGAATATCTTTACTATCTGCAGCTGTTAGGACCGATGGAAATGGAAGCGCTTTTAAAATTTGTATACTTTCTTTGCAGGAATCGAAGAAACAGAGGCGCAACCGGACAACCTTCACTACCTTTCAGTTGCACGAATTGGAGCAAGCATTTGAGCAAAGTCACTATCCAGATGTGTACGCTCGTGAGCAACTCGCTAACAAAGTGAAGCTGCCTGAAGTCCGAGTTCAGGTTCGTGATAATCACTAGCTAACGAAGACCATTTTATGCTACATGAGATATTTCGGTGATTTGTTTCCTTAACTTGAACCTTAACTTGATCACCACTTCATCGTTTTGCCAGGTCCGGGGATACCTTTACGGATGCCATCGGAAATGAGTTGAATTGAACTCGCTTTTGGGTTTTTGTTGAAACACTGCAAAGTAGAATTTAATGTGTCAGTCGTATTCAAGACATTCAGTCAGGCAACTTGAATTGGAAGTGGATTAGGCGAACTCGTAGAAGGCCAGCGAATAATGATAGGTGGAACCAAATTGTACCCGTGCTGCTCGAAATATTTTCATATTATCGCGTTCAAAATCAGTGAATGACTTGAAAGGTAGTCTGAAGGCTACTGCTTAGGAGTTCTCTCTACTCCATATGAGAACGTGAAGAGAATCCGTTGAAACGTCGCTTCCTTCAAAGGAGGGTTGAAAAATCGGAGATCATCTACAAATGTATGCCTCTACCTATCATGTGCTTGTTGGTAACGGACCTCTATCCCTCTTCCATAGTTCAACTTCCCTAGTCCCTTGAAGTAGAATTAGTCGACCTTTGGATGATGTCATGTATCGAGGTGAGGCAAGCAGTTGGAGGTAGAGCTGTACATAACACAGTATGAAGGAGTATTCTAACCTCATTAAAGCTAATTCACATGAACAGACGAAAGAAACGTGGTATCCTACAGTTTGTTGAGCTGTCCATTTCACTGCCCTCGTTATAAGAAGCTGTCTCTCAAATTTCAATTCAATAATGTAACATTTAACCAAACTAGCTGCCGTGAAGGTTCCTTTTGGAAGGAATTTTGGTTTATTGAACCTGCACTTCCAGTAACTGGCTTTCTTGATCTGTCTTGCCTGTACTTGAAGGTCTCTTTTGAGACAGACAATGCGTCTCTTTGAACTGTCTTTAAAGCTCATGAGGGCAGTTAATTGCGATCAGCTGATGAAAACAATTTTTTTATCCTTATGTTCGTTGACTGGAATTTATTGGTTATATCGGATACACTTGCAGAAGTCATTGTCCTCTAGAAGTTCTCTATGCAAATCAGAAGGTCGGAATACGATATAACACAGGAAAATAGGGGTCGAATCAAGTCCTTGAAGATGAATTGTTGGCTCCTCCATTATATCGTTTTTTTATCCTTTTTATCCTTACAAGTGAGGAATGGCAGAACTTGAGCCAACACTGGCTTAAACGCATGCTTATAAGGAAGGGACCTAAAGACCCAGTTTGATTTCCAGTTTGCCTTCCAGGTTTGGTGGCTACTAGTTGTGATTAATCGGGTAGTTAATTGAAGGCCACAATTTTGACATAAAAGGTATCGCTAGTTGGTCGGTGCAGGCGGTGATTTATCCTTCGCCTACAACAAGTGAAGATTAATCCAAACGCATACTTACACTGTCAATTTTCAATTGAGAAAACCAACTACGGCAGACCCTAGAGGTAAGCCACTACGCAACCACTTCGTAATACCGCCTAATACTTTGCATTCACGATGTGTTTCTTCGTCTTTTGAACTGGATGAACGTTTTTGGAGTTGTTACGTGGGCCTTCAGCAGGTTGAGCTTCAGCAGGTTGAGTTGGTTATTGTTCCTACTATAAATATCTCCGTTTTCCATGGGTCCGCTTGAATAGTTAGTATTTTGACGAGAACACTGATGGATGGTTGTTCATGCGAAATCGTAATACTGAAAGGATAACTAGGTTTGGTAAGGCCGAACGGTTCAAGAGAAGCTCCCTAAACAGAAAATCGTCCGCAGCCTTTTCTACACAAATACTCCAAAATTTTAGACATACTAGCAAGCTCCTTCAGCTCCTCGGTGACAATAAAAAGCGTTAAGTATCCAGTGGCTTACCTGAAAGTCAATTTTAACAGATCAGTAATGAAATTTCTTCGTACTCTTATATGATGAACGCGTAATCTATAGAACTTTTCAAAAGACGTAGTGATAGAATGCATATCTGCAACATCCTTAATGTTCTGTAGAATCAAACTCCTTTGTCTGCAAACATTGCACATTTTGTAATGTCAGATTGGCTACCGCTCACTGCTACTGGCATCTCATAATGGCAAAATTCTCCCCAACCCCTTTTCACTTTGTAAACTCTATCGAATGGTTCTCAGCTGCTACCATTCTGAGAAAAAGAATTTCCAGTCTAACGTGCTAGCAATTAAGCCAAGACCATAGTCAGCATATCGTACATTTGAATCTGGCAACGTTATCGAAAGTTTCTCAGGCTGAAATGATCATTGAAATTTGGTTGAAATGGAAGTTACTCATTTGTTGTTCATATCAGTAATCCTAATCGTCGTCAGTAGCATGTAAACCCCCAGGCCTTGAGAGGAGAGGGACTCCAGTATAGTCATCAGGCAGAATGGAGTAAGAACCTGCCTATGTTCTGTTCTTGAAAGGTGTGTGTAAATGGTAGAAGGAAGCCCTAGACAAAAATAGAAAGAAATAATATAGATAGAAAAATAGAAAGATGAAAAGCTCAACTTGCACTATAAACCTCGTCAACCTGATTATTCAAATGTTTCTGCGTCAGGACTGGTATAGCAGCTTTCCAGATTCATTTTGTCGACCCCGTAAACCTTAGATTCGCTGTAAGTATAATTAACAAGAACGGAACAAAATGGGCCCTCTTCTTTTATGATTTTCGTTACAGAAACTCTCGATGAGAAAAATTTTTTGCAGCCTTCATACCAAAGTGAAACTCAGTAGAATCTTCATATATTGATTGTATCACTGATTCACTGTTCATGACTGTTCTTTCGAAATGTAGCTGCTCACAGCCTTCTCGGTTCTTTCGGGGTTACTTTTTCACTCCAAAAAAGTAGAGGAACGCCCTCTGCGATTTCGCGGCAAAAAGCCTGTTTTACTTTTGGTTTGTTCGAAAGCTCTTAAAAGGTAAAAACTCGATCACTGTGAAGAGCTGAGGTTTAAGAAAACTTGACTGCAGTCAGGTTTTGAAAGCACAGCCGTTTCCGTCATCGACTCTGAATGGAGCAAGTACCTAACAATTTTCCTGAATCGCAAACTTCGGTTATGTTCCGACCTCAGAAGACCACTACTTGGTTGACCTTGTCTCCACTAAAAGAACTCTCATAGAATAGTCTTGATGGCAAAGTAATCTCAGCAAGAAGCCAAATCTGATGCGGCCCTCTGAAGTGAACCATATCGCTTTTCTTCTGCACGATGACAGATGAGAATTGGAAAAAGTAATGAGTTCAAGCCTCCAACCACAGGAAAGAATTCAGTAGCAGTGTAGCATTATTATTACCACAATGATGGAGGGTTTGAACAGACCTCTATCCGTTCGTCTACCTTTTCTTTACTCAGCTCTGTCACCCCATTTTTCAAACTTTCTTCGCACGATATTTAGCCCTTGTCCTCAGATAAACTGCTGATATGCTAAGATCCCCCAGCACATGCGCGGCAAGAGCTTCTCATAGGGCCAAACCTTTGCGCATGCGCATCGTGAATTGTGACTAAAAACTACACTCATCAAGTTGGAGCAGATCCAAGGTTAGCTTTTAGATGCCTCATAAGACATTCTCCCTCGATGAGAGAACCTGGTTTGATAACCCCTGGTTTTGTCATCAAATCTTGAATATCAAAGACAAAAGTTTTCCATGACGATACTTTTCAAACAAAGTACTGTAATGAACTGCAGCAGTGGCCATGTTCTGTGTTCTTTCACACGCTGGGCCTTTAATCGTTTAATCACAATAGTGCGCGTAGCGACACACCTCCCTAATCCGACAGTAATCCTACAGTAATTCGAGTCACGCCACGGTCGCCTCCACTGTTTCGCCACAAAGACAACGGATCAACGTTAATGGTGCGTCTTGAACATTGGCTAGAAGGAACTCGTCAAGGGATTCTGAGTGCTGTCTCACATCCATTAGGGGGTTGTTGGGACTTGGCTTCGTCACTCACCATTCGAATATTACAAGTTGTAAGGTACTTGCAGAATATAATCGAAAGGTCTGTTCAACCGGAGCTATATCAACAAAAGTCAGTACTGTTCAAACAGCATCTTCTAAAGGACATAGAATTTTCATTAACTGTCTCTAACTCACCGTCTTCCACTCACCTCGTTCCTATCATTACATTGTCTCTGAATTACAACCGCTATTCGATTAGCCTGCCAGACTAACTATGGCGAAGCAAAACTCAAAACATCCCTTCTTTTTCGATATGGCTACTTAGCTGTCATAGTTATCAAGTTCAATTAGGTAACGTCACGTCCAAATTGATTGGCAATTAGTGGCAATGGATTTGATTCGAAGCGCTGCTTTAGTGTGTTGGCCGGATGTGCTGCAACGGCCACTAATGACCTACAGGGTACGGTAATCTGACACTAGTCGGCAAGGATTAACGGGTAACAGTCAATTGTTAACAATAGAGGTGCAGATGTGAGTTCATAGAGCGTCAAGAGTAGAGGGGATCGTAAGAAAAGGGCCACTTTGCAAAAACAGAAAGCAGGTATGGTCTTGCTAAGACTGGAGTTTCCATTTTGCTTGCTCGGTCCCTAAACTTCCTCACCATACGATGCTGATGAAGCAGGGCCAGATTCCTTCATGATAAGTTCATTTCAAATTTTATAAAACGAGCAGTGACCCATTTCGACTTGAGACTTGAGCCACGTGGTCTTGAGAAACCACTTGGACAGTTTATAACTTTTGTGGCTGAGTAGAATTGGAGTGAACAAGACTGAGATCATGGATGGAAGCTCATAGTGCATCAATCGGCAGAAATGCTGAACCTCTCGATGAATCCATTACCTTAGAACACTTGCCAACTAGGGAACGTTCACGATAAGAAATGTGGCCTGTTATGATTTCGTAAGTCCGACCCTATCAATGGGACATCGGTGGCAAGGGAATCGACAAACTGACAATGGCGATATTGACAGTCGTTGAGTCGCTCCGCCGTCATTTATTGTTAGTTATGAGTTTACCATTTCTATCACATAAGTTGGT